GAAATCAGAAATGTTAGCTTGCTGAAAAACTTGAGTATTTACCAAGTCTGTAGAAAAAGTTGCTTTTGGTAAGCATAAACAAATTAGAGACTTTAATGAAGAGGACATTGTCACCTATTCCAATCTCTTTGTATTCCCTGAGATACCAAATTATGATGATTACTCATGTCCCAAGTGCAGTCACTAAGTGTCCAAATCTAAAACATCTCTCTTTACAATACAGAAATATGACAAAAAAATGTTACGAAAAACTCAAGAATGGTCCTTGGTACTTATTCAGTTACTTCAGTGTCTATCCATTTCACAATTTTCTTATTGGTTTGGTCACAACAATCTCAGTGTAAATATAAGCAAAAATAGAGAAAAATCTATACAACTGCATGAAAATTGACAAGTCTTGTCTGGTCTTCCAAATGGAAAATAAAAACAGTTTTTTTACAGTAGAATATAGGAATCACTGCTGATTAAAACTGCATGATGTCACTGTTTTAATAAAGAAGCCCATTTGCAGTGAAGTCATAGATTATTTGGAGCAATGATATGGGGGGCAGGTCTTGCATGCATCAGTTACTTCTTGTAATAAAGTTTAGTAGCATATGACCATTAGAGTTTAAGATTCTCTGAGGATTTCTCAAACATGACATTTTCCCAAATGTTTAGTAAAATCATCTGTTCAGCTCCATGCTGAAGGGCTGTTCTGACAATGGGCACACCTCATAAAATGGGCATTTTTTTAATTCTGAAGGTTTTCAAAGAATTTTACAAGCTATATTATATGAAAACAGCAACTTTAGTAGTAATGCAATCCTTGCTACTAGAGCTAGGACTATAGTAATACTATACACATTCTGCTGAGCCATATGACCATTGAGAGCTGGTGCTATGGAAATCTAACAGCAATTTGTCCTTCTTTTGCACATGAGCAGTGATGGTATGAAGCACAAAAACAGAGGCCTCCTGCAGAACAGAACAGAAGTCTCCTGGACAGTGTTCAAAGCAATAATGAGGCACAAGATCTAATCTGTAACCTACAGTTGTGGTTTTATTTTTTTAAAAAGACCTCAGCAGGGAGAGAGGGGTCAGCTGCTAGAAGGGACAGCTCAGGGACTCTCCTGCCTTGGCGAGCAATACTGGCTTGAGGAGGGCTGTTTCCCCACTACAAAGAGAACTAATACCAGCAAAAGCACTAGTAAACTCTATTCTATATACTAGCATTGCTAGCATCTAGAAGAGATCAGAAGAGGAGGTGGGGGGGGGGGGGGGGGGGGGAGAGTGGCTCCCTTACAATCATGTTATCAGGTCTCATGGCTGGTATTGTGTCTCAGTAACCAGCATGCACAATGACAGGTTTCAGAGTAACAGCCATGTTAGTCTGTATTTGCAAAAAGAAAAGGAGTACTTGTGGCACCTTAGAGACTAATCAATTTATCTGATCATAAGCTTTCGTGAGCTACAGCTCACTTCATCGGATGCAGTGAGCTGTAGCTCACGAAAGCTTATGCTCAAATAAATTGGTTAGTCTCTAAGGTGCCACAAGCACTCCTTTTCTTTCAGCATGCACAATATTATTGTTTTCTTAATACTGTAAGCTACAATGGAAGTACTGCCATAATTCTGGATAGTTACTTTCTACCCTTAAAAGCTTACTGATCCATGAAATGTAGTCATTCTGAACAAGAAGCACTAAATAATCCTTTATAAGAAAGAAGTAAAAAAGAAAAAAAAAAGGTCTCCAGTTGAAACTGCAGGCAAGTTTTGAATATGCATGACTACCTAAATGTGAATTTGCCCATCACATAAGAGAACCTGTACCTTTTCTTTCAAGAAAGCATCATGGAAGTTGTCCTTTAATAACAAATGTTTTATGTCTCAGACCAAAGATATCACCTATTAGTATAGTGCCATCTAGCATCATGCTGAGGCAGTTCTTTCAATATCAATTCAGAGGAAAGACTGTCGCACACTCCACTTCCTGCATTGTTGTTTGCCATTAAGAACTTGTACACAACTATTAACTATGCCTAACTTATGAGATCTGGCAAGATCACGAGACACTAAAGATAGGTTAAATTTAAAGCCTAATAGAGGTCTGTACAAGTAGATATTCCTAATAAAGATTCTGACTTTGTCAATTCAGTATCATCGCCAAACACTAGTGGATAGTGAGAAGTCAAGATTTCCACTTTCCATTGATGCAATCATAGACCAGACACAGTAGAGAACAATTTCTGCTGATACACAAGTCTTCTGCCCTTCTTCATCTATTTATCTTATCAGTTACTAATGTTTTTATATAGAGTTTGAGTATAAATACACAAGCCAACTAGCTCTGTTGTGACGATTAAAAGAAAATCTGAGGGCCAACATTAAGATTTCCTTGCAAATATCTATTTATAGCTGATGCACATTTTAGATTTCTTAATTTGACTGACATTCAGTTGCATTTTCTACCCTTATTGTGTTAAGAAACTCGTGACTGAAGCGTAATTATAAATGTAAGTTATTGTCACCCATGTGCAACCTCAGTCTACTTTTTATGTAACAAGAATCCCTTAGGAATCCCAACGTTATTGTGCTCAACCAGTTCTAAAAAGCCTAAACATACTCTGATTACATTATTCAGATTTTATATTGATGAAACAAATTAGCCATACTAAATTGTAATTGGAGCATCATACTTTACTCAAGATCCATGTCACCTATGCTTAATCCACGTAAGCGGAAACTCTTAAAATATTACCCAAAATGAGAACCTACCAGTCCACTGCTTGGCCACCTTGCATAAGGAGGCATTTGAAGAGGCTTCTAACATCTATTCACATGTCTGAACTTGCCCACAGAAAGTCTGTGAAACAAAATCCGGTTTGGAGGCTCATTCAGCTAACTAGTCTATGCTTTCCTCAATAATTCAGGGTTAAAGAGTCTGCTCGCTGACTTGCTACTAACCAGAACAAGTGGTAAGCACTCCTTCTAGAGTACTGGGGCCTAAGCCAACAATTTCTGAATAAGCTTTGATTTAAAGAATTTTTAGCCCTTGATAGTATCAGACAGCACACTTCTTTAACATTTGGAAAGTTAACTGACGTAATAGTTTTCCTGAGCTCCTAGCGCCTACACTAACATTCAAAGATTTGCCTGCTATCAGCAGCATGATAATAACAGGACTCTGCTCAGTTTTGCTGAAGCCCTTCAGAATTCAAAAGCCAAAATAGTGGAACTCAAGAATCACGTCAATTTTATAATCCTGATAAAACTGAGCAACAGGGACAGTCACTTTAGTTATTTGGGAGATGTACTCCCTACCAACAAAAATGGAGTAGCAGAATTCTTCCCCACTCTTCCTTACCATGTTCAAGAGGTTCTGAGAGGGGGCAAAGTGGTGAAGAGTCCACTGTACCTTCTAGCAGCTAAGAAGCTGTAGATGGCGAGGGGAGACGGAGAGCTCCTTCTGCCTTCCAGCAGCTGTATGCATGCATGTTGACCTTCAAGTTTAGACACCTATTAGCCAGCAGATATGAAAGATTCCAACTTCCCTTTTTGCTGGATCCTGCTTTAAGAACTCTAATAGAAATCTCAGTACTATCCACCACAGAAACTAGATTTCAGGCTGCTAGGGATGGGCCTTGCTTCTCAACAAGGCACTCTACTTAGAGCTCTCTAAGGCCACCTTCCTGCCACTATCCCACTTCATGTCTACCACTGGCTATCATGTTTGCCTTTTTGACTAATAAGTGTCAGGTAAATTTTTTTAAGACCCGGCCTTAATTAGTGTTCAAAGTATATCCAGTAAAGGAGTATTTGTATAGCCCACTGTTGTGCACCATATGCTCCTTAGTGGGTCAGAACAAGGTACCCATTTTTTAAAAAAGCTTTAAGTATAGCATAATATGCTATTTTTAACAATCATTTTAGATGATGGATGTCTGTAACTGCCGAACAGCCAAATGGAAAAGTCTTACTTTTTTCAAATCTACCTTTCAAAATTAGTAGTTTCTATAGTTAATCCAATCAAATACCTTCAGTGACAGGTATATTTATAAGTAGTAAAATTCTCACCTCACCCCCACTTTACAACTATAAAAACTGAACACATTCTGGTTTTTGGGCTTGCAGAAAGTTTAAGCATTGCTGCTTTTGTCCAATTTTATACTACAAAACACTATCTGGTATTTCCCATATCACATAACTCACTCAAAGGATGACAAATATTCAACTGAACCCATCAAACGTTATCCTTGCAAAGTTGCTGCACATTTTGTAGCTCTCTATATAGTATTAAACCACATGAAACCATACGATAATATTCCTAAAGCTAAAAAAACCCACAAAGTTTCCAGGCTTGCTGGAGCGGTTTCACTTTTTTGAATTCTATTCTATTAGATTCTAGACACTGTAGTATCTGAGTTCCTTCCAAGAGTTCAATTAAGCAGCGTGACTAACATTCATCATACGTTTTCTCATCCTTTCGACAGGGGAGAAGTGTTCACAGTAAAGTGTTCTGGACTTTATAATTTAATATTTCTACATTTACATGAATGGACATGGGCAGGCATACACACACACACACAGAGCTATATTTATGTTAGAGTAGACAAGGTCACAGAAACATCTTGCACCTGGAGCAGAAGTTGCTTAGGTTTGTGATGGGCCCTACTCCCCATGGGAGTTCATTCCACAGGCTTGGGTCAACTCCCAAGAAAACTCCGTCTACTGCACAGACGACCTTTACTTTTATTGTAGAATATTCTGTTGTGTCAGAGGAGTGAAGAAGTCAATCATGATCTCCATCCTAGACTGCATATTTATTCTTTATTATCTTACATATGTTCCCTGTTCGGTTGCAAACATATTGCTTTTAAACCACTGACAAAAGAGGACATACCATCATAAAAATCATTTTCCTTAGCCATTTTCACCAAGCTTTTTGTCCATAAAAATAAAAACCTATCTATAAAGCTCTAGTGAAACATGAAAGACATCAACTTTGAGATAATGCTTACCGTAATAACAGCCTTGCTTAGACAAATCGAGCCCCTGCAGCCATACTCAGTTTCATCTTCAGATTTGTAGTAACTTAGAGTGTTGTTTTTCAAAACTACCCATCGGTCCTGCCACCCATGAATGTAGTTGGTCCACTGTAGAGAACAAAGAAATAAATCTCAAAAAGCTGAGCAAGGTCTGAAAATAGTAAAAATACTGATGAGAAGACACCTTGTTTGCTTATTAAATTTCGTTATTTAAAAACTAGAAAAAGTTTTTCAAATTTCTCCCCAAATGATGGATTTGCTATCCCCTTGATCAGAACTCTCAACATTTTTCATCAACCATTTGTGTTGCACAGTACCTTAAGCCAATTTTGCTTCATTAACAATAAGACTAAAATTATGTCGTCTGTAAAAGCGGTATCACACCCAACTAAAACAAAATGTTCTTTACAATTAAGAGCACTGATGCAGAAAGAAGTTTAGTGAAAAATTAGAACTATTAATTGGTAAAAAAATATAGGTTTTATCTTTTCTAGGCTTAGAAGTTAATCTTTTGGTTTTAATGTTGCTAAACTTTCTATTTAAGTAAAACAGAAGGTGAGCTTTCATAAGAACTGTTTCCGTAAGATAAAGATACTGTTTTAAAAGAGTCTCATCCTCTAGATCATATAAAGATTCATTTATACAAGGTGCTCCCTTAATCCCCCTTTACAGCAATATAAATGGAGAAATACAGTTCTGTACATTAAAAATCACCGTTTTCACACTAGTAACTTAACATTTGCCAGAGTCTCAAAGTCACTTTTGGGTACTAACACTGTACACCCTGACTAATGAGCACATACTTTGGCATTCAAGTTCTCTCTAAATTATTCGGCTCAAAGCAACAACGAGTTAGAAGAGGATATACTACTTAAAGAGCAATAATGGGAAAGTGAGTACAAAAATGTTGTTCGTAAAATTGTTCTTAAATGTTTAGTAGATCATGATAGTGGTTCTAAAATGAAAATTATCACTGAAACAAGATGAGGAAATGCTGAAAAATATTTTATATTTCTTTCATTATAACAGGAGGATTCTTTCATTGTAAGGCAGGAGAATGGGAAAAGGGAAGAGAGTCGTTCCTCCACTAACACAAGTTAGATGGTACCTTTGAACAGCTTTTATTAATCAGAATCTCGTGCTTATGACATTGGTCTGTTGCTCTGAAAAAGTTTCCCAAATTCACCATTATGTCTTCAATGTAATACCGGACAGAAGAAAAGATCTCTGGTAAAGAAAATTCTAACTGTTTGAACAAGTGAATTTATTTACATGTGACACAAACTAAAATGTCTGATATACCTGAAAATCTTCCCTAGTTTGTATCCACCTTTAAGTGATGAACAATACACACATTGTAAAAAGTGCTTTTCAAATGGTTAAAATTTCTAATCAGTAGGACAATGTATGGGAAAATTTAGGCATTCTAAATACATTTAAAAATCAAAAAACTTAAAATTTAGCTTCTTTTTCCCTTACTTGTGGAATAATGAGGGCTTATCTAGACCGCGAGAAGACCCTAAAATAGCTATTCTGCACTAGCTCCTCATGTGGACACACTTCTTCCACACTAAAAGTGCTTTTGTGGTGCTTAGGTTCAAGCACTCTTAGTACAGAACCAGAATGACCACAAGGGGGTAGTGCAGAACAGTTACTGCACTTTAAATTAACATCCTCACTATTTTGCACTAACTTCCCCTTGAACTTCCTCTATAGACAAGCCATAAGCTCAGGCTTTTCCCTCCTGCAAAAATGATGAAATCCTGAGCACCTAAAACACCACAGGGAATGCAAAGAAATGCAACCTTTTATTACTGGTTTGGAGTCTTGTTTTTAAAAAGCTTTTTTTTATATTTAATCTCTATTTGCTGACAAAACACGTTATTATGCAATAATTTCAGTTAAACTCATTTGCCTTGCAGGTGTTACAGAAGACATTAATTAAGCAGCAAAGAAATTAAAGTTAGACAGTCACTCATAATACCTTCCAGCAGGTTCACTCCAACAGGTTTTATCATATTTCACAATTCAGGTTATTTTTCATTATGTGTTTTCACTTGGAGGTTAACAGAAAAGACAATAGCTGTAATATAAGTATAAGCACTACAAACAAAACTCAAAATTGTACATAGTGCGTGTATAATAAGACACAGATGTTTGGGAAACACCTTGGGATTTAGCATACATGAAAACCCACCATTAAGATTTAGAATACAATTTTAGACTCCATTTCATTTGCCAATATTAAAATGGATGGCGTACTACAAACAAATACCAGATCATTTCTACTTAATGATCTGGATCACCTAAAAAGGTGGTAACATTGCAGAAATCTCAGGCAATAAACCACACTTCCAAACCAAAAAACCTACTGTAACATACCTCCTGTCCCTCCCCAACATCAGATATGAGACCCTGCAGATCAGCGTGCCAAGGCCTGCCTCCTCTCCTCAACATTGCTCCCCTCTATGAGCTCAAACATTTTTTTAATTGGAAAGAGTTCATAAACAGAGTCCTACTCTCTCACAGAAACAGTACCATAGGTTTTTCAGTATACAGGGGATGTTCACAGGTCATGGGATACCGAGATCATGCATTCAGTTCTAGCTTAAACCCCTCCTCACAGTGTAAAGTGACAGAGAGATACAAAAACAACATCTCAATATATACCCAAATATCCAGAGAATTAAAAAGCTACTTTCTGCTACCGAAAGTGTTCGCTCAGAATATTTAGTCTTTAAAACACTCCTTAAAACTGAATTCCCTAACCTCATCTCACACACGTCAAACTGATTTATTAAATTCACAGTAATACAAAGGGAGAAATAGGTTTAATCCTTCCCCATGCCCCCCACAACATAAGCAAAAAAAATTTTTTTAAGCAAGCATTCCCGCAATTTTCCCTTGTTCCCCACCCTTCACTCGGATCTCCCACTGCAAGGGTATTTTATTGCACTATTTTGCTGCTGGGACTAAAGCCCATGCCACTCCTCTTTGACGTATCCCTATTGATTGGAAGTGATTTGTATGTACATATCACATGCTGCTACTTCCTGCAAAAAAGTCTTGGCAAGAAAAAAAAAGCAGCATTTCCTCTGCAACCCCAAGAACTCTCCCTCTTCCCCACACAGGCTCAGCGTGTAGTCCTACATCAGTCAGCACAGGTATCAATACAACCTAGCCCGCAGCGCACACTACCTAGGATAGGATTGCCAAGCTCCAGTCAAAAACCTGATGAATGGAGATGCCCTCGCTGCCAGCACTCACATTCTGCATGAGAATTATTCTACTTACAGACCCTGCTGTCCCAAAATTTACACTTGGGGAGGGTGAGTCAAAGGGTGGGGTGCAAAGTGGGGGGATCGAGAAAGAAGGGACAAGGGGACGCTCATTCATACCGAGGATGCCTCCTCATTTAGGAGGGGAAGGAAGCTAGGAGAGACTCCCCCATCCGTTTGGAGAATGGATTTTAAGACTGTCTCCACAGCCTCCCCGCGAGGAAAGGCTCCCCGCCCCGCCTAGTTTACAGGAAGGAGGGCACTGAAAGCGGCGCTTAGCTTCTCCCGGAGAGACGGGGGAGAGCTGGGAGTACTGCGGGGGTTCCTCTCGCAGCAGGGCGGGCTGGAGGGGACGGCCTCGCGGTGTGTGCGGGCCGTTAGAGCCCCTCCCGCGGGCTGGGAGTGGATGTTTTGCGGCGAGTGACTCATTGCCAGGCTCCCCCAGGTCATGCGGCCGCTGCCCCAGCCAAGCCAGAGCCCTGTCTCCGCAGGCGAAAAGGGCTGCGGGGCTGCCCCGCAGGCGGGTAACCGGGCGAGACAGGGGATCCTAGCCCGATTCCGCCGGGCAGCGCGGGGGTGCACACGGTCCCCACCCGCCCGGGAAGGAGGAGGCTCCCAGTCCCCCAGGTGGTGTGAGGGAAGGGGCTGCTCACCTTGCTGAGGACCCCGCAGAGCTCAACAGGCGGCCCGGACTCGGTCTCGGGATCCTCCTCGGAGCCGGAGGAATTCCAGCTCTGGTTGTCCGACATGGAGACGCCGCCCGCAGCCACCACCGAGCAGGGAAACAGCGAGCGGCCCCCGCCCACAGCAGCCTCTTCCTGCCTTGGGGACGGGAGCGACGGCCGGGTGGGCTCTACCTGGGCGACACCTCTCAGCTCCCGGGGGGGCGCCAGCCGCGCCTGCCCTCTCTGCAGCTGCCGGGGCCGCGGCTCCGTGACTCGACTCTCCGCCTCTGCCCTCACTGCAGCGCCGCGGCCCCGACCCACAGCGAGAGCCACAGTGCGAGGGACGAGTGCCTGTCTCCGCTCAGAGCGCCACCGCAGCTGCTGCCGCCATCTTCCTCCAGGCAGGAGCTCGCTCTCTGCTACTATTTACCAACTCCCCGCAGCCCCACTTTGGAGGGGGGGCGCATTGCTTGCTGGGAATTGTAGTCTGGAGGGAGGAGCACGATGCAGGGAGGGTCTGATGGCGCGATGCATCATGGGAATGCCACGGGTGGGGGGAATGATGCCCTCATGGAGCACTGCATCCTGGGAGTTGTAGTCTAGGGCGGGGGAAGGCCTCCGCTTTTGATTTGGAAGCTGAGGACGGCCATTTTGGTTCGGTTGTGTGTCTTCTAATTACGGCCTCCCCCCCCAAGTCCTTAGCCAGCGCCCGCCCAGGTGCGTAGCTGCGGCTTCACTTCGGTTAAGGCAATAGGGAGGCTGGTCTGTACCCTGACCTGTCACCCGCTCTTTCCTCTAGCCCCTGTCGGACGGGCGGGAGCGGGTTCCTCTTCCCAGGTAGGGCAAGGAAGGAGGCAAATCGTCCCTCCCGCCACCCCCGTGTCCTCGTCCTCCACACTGCGGCTGTCAGTTGAGGCTGGCTTCCCTCCCTTCCCCCCGGCATGGCCCTTCGGGGAACAGGCTCGGTGTTTCCTCCAGTTACAGACGTTTCCCTTAACCAATATGGAGGCGGTGGGGGGGGGTCAATGAGAACACAGGAAGTGTGGGGGAGGGGGAGCAGGGAAGTTAGATGCCTCCGGCTCTGAGCTGAGAGACAGAGCAGGGGGAGCTCGGAAGTGAAGCTTCTTCCCATCCACAGGTAAAACATGCCGCGCCTAGCCGCAGCGTCCTCCCGTCCTGGGCACGCTGGGCTCTGCCCACTTTTCGTGGGGTCGGTACAGAAGGGGCTGGGACTCACGCGGGTCACTGAGGAGCTGAGACAGAAAGAGGGAAACCAGCAGCAGCCAAATCATCCTCTGCCCAGTTCTCGCCTCCCTTCCAGACTGAGCGAGAGAGACTTGGGGGGGGGGAGGCCATTCACTGCACTGTCCCCTGCCCTTCTCAAAATAAATGTGCTAACCTCTGAACTGCATAGTGGTTTTGAACGAAATCCTTTCTGCACCGATGTGTGACTCTGACAGTCTGCTTTTCTGGCATGACCGGGCATGTCTGTACTGCACACTAAGGCTATGTCTACACTAGCACTTTTGTCCATATAACTTATATCACGGGGGGGGGGGTGAAAAAAACACACCCCTGAGTGACATAAGTACACTGACAGAAACACTGGTGTGAGCAGTGCTATATGGACAGGAGATGCTCTCCTACCAACATAGTTACTGTCACTCATTAAGAGTGGTTTAATTATGTCGACAGGAGAGTTCTCTCCCAGTCCTATCAGCATACATGGGAGATCTTACAGCTGTGCAGCTGAATCAGTACAGCTGTGCCACTGTAAACTCTCTAGTGTAGACATGGCCTTAGCCTAGGCTCTGACTCTGGTTTTAATCCAGTCCCTGCTCCCCTTCCATCCACACACACACATCAGTCAGATTCAAGTCAGCAAGCACTCAGGACTTAGGTCCTAGGATCCTTCGTGGGGGAATAGGGGGTATGTCAGAGCCCAAGTCCTGTTGTGAGACTGGTCCAAGTCCTATTATTTTGCAGTATAGATGCAGGTCAAGCTGCGGACCCGAGTCAGAAGGTCTGCATAGTATGGTCCCGTGACAGCTGGTTCCAGGAATTGTAAATCAAGTTGTGCGATACAGTGTGGAAGCTTGGGGAACACCAAGTCCACAAGTCCAGGTCCAACAAACCCATGTTTAGTATGTAGTGTAGAGATACCTTCAAGGTTTAATTGCATATAGTGCAGTAGGCCCCAAACTTTTAATGTCATGCTTCCCCCCCAGCTATAATGTAATCTGTCCACGCCCCACGGGCGCTGTGGCTGGGGCTGCATCCAGGAACCAGGCAACAGTCAGGGGCTGGAGCTGTGGCTGGGACTGCAGCCGGGAGCTGCAACCTGGGGCCAGGGCTGGGCTGTGTTTGGGGCTGTAGCTGCGGGTGGGGCCAGAGCAGAGCTGGGGTAGATCGGGCTGAGTCATGCTCTCTCCCCACCCACTGTGGGGTCTGGCCTGGGCTCCACTCTGCCCTGCCCCAAACATTCCTCTGTGCCCTCATAGCGGGGCACGCGCCACAGTTTGGGGATCACTGATATAGTGGTTTAGTTTCATTTTGATTATCTTGCTACAAAAAGAGGAGGCAAATTGTATGTTGGTGGAACATTATTACAAACTTGGCACTCAAAAAAGAAAGTCATGCCTTATATTTGTGTAATCAATGTAGTAAACTTTAGCTACATAATATTGTACAGTGCAGAGAACAATGACAAGGATTTGTGATTTTTTTTGTTGGTTTTCAAAATCACTTATGAATAAGTAGTGTAAGGGCAGGCCTACACTACAAATTTACATTGGTATAGCTGCACCGCTGTAGCGTGTATGGTGAAGACATTCTAAGACAATAGAAGAGAGCTCTCCCGTCAGCTTAATAACTCCACCTCCATGAGAGGCGGTAGCTATGACAGCAGGAGAAGTTCTCCCATTGGTGTAGTGCTGCCTACACGGGAGGGTGGGTGGGCGTGTTAAGGTTGGTATAACTGCTTTGCTTAGGCATGAGGATTTTTCACATCCCGGAGTGACATCGTTATACCGATATAAATTTATAGTGTAGACCTGGCCTAAATATAAAGAAGAAAGGGGTTAACAAAACATATAATATAAACAGAAACTGAGTACCAAAAATAGAAATACTTCCAGGTTGCTAAAACTGACAGAAAAACCTCATTCAAGCAAGTTTTACATCTAATGTAAAATTGTGCATTTAATGAATCATACTGGCAAACATTATTTTAACACCTTACAGGCAGGGGTTCAAATAAACAAAATTTTAAAAAAGAAAGGGTTAAGATTGAAAGTGTGTTTGATTTGAGTCCAGCTTCTTTTTTACATTGGCTTTTTTTTTTTTTAAAGTCCACATTCAGAAACACCCCAGTGTTACAATGTCTAGCCTTCCCACAGCCATATAACCCTTCATCCTTTTTGACTAAAAAATTGTAAACATATAAAGCTTTTATTCACACTTTTACCTATAACTCACCCCCTCCATGATTTATCCTGGTCCTCTACATTCTTCTCTGTGCCTTTTCCTGATTCCTTGTAACTATCTCCATGCCCACTCTAGTCCCTATCACATCTTTTTAATGTCTCTTGTTCTGCCATCTCCAGGTCCTGTACCCCTATGTGTCTCCCAGTACTTTACGCTCCTTTCCAGACACTCCCATACCTTTTTCTTCCATGCACCCTTTTATTTTTCTTGGTATCCTTATCCTCTTTTCCATGCTTCGTCTTAGTCCCCTGTGCAGCCTTGTTCGTGCCACCCTCAGTGTGCTACACTCTCTCATGGCTTTTCTGGTCCCCAGCACTCACTTTCCCTGTCTTACTTCCCTTTGTCCCCCACCCCTATTCCATGCCCCTTCTGTGTTCCTCCTCCAGAATCCCCATTTTTAGACCAGGGTCCATGTGACCTCTTAGTTCCCTACCCCAATCTCTGTTCCTTCTGGTCTCCTAGATATAAATTGTGGGGAGCTTAAAAACTAGTTTTATAATGGGAAACTAGCATCAATCTAAACCGTGGAGTAGCTACTGTTGCTCCATAATTATGATGTATTGAGTAAAATACAAGAAAATAAAATACAAAAATAGCTTTTCATAGTTCTATTAAACAAAGTATGACATTTGTATTAGATGATCATTAGAGCCCTGCAAATCTGCGGATATCTGCTTTATCACAGATCATTTCTGCAGATCACAGATCATATGCAGATACAAATTTTCTATCCGCACAGGACTCTAGTGATCATGATTTATCTTTAAAAAGAGTAAGTTTTAAATGTATGAATGATTGGTTCACTCACTTTTTCTCCACTGCTTCTGTCTTTCCCTTATTTTCCCATTACTGTCCCCAGTTTCCCTATGTGACTCTTGATCTTCGTTTTCCGAATCCTGCATAAACACAGCTTGAGCTGGAGCCTTCAGGATCCTGTATTCTTTCAGAGATATCAATTTATAATTGTTCTTGCATTTAAAACCATTTTAAAAGGCTGTCCTTCAAGTGTTTTTGTTTAAACAGCAAAATTTGGCTCTGATATTTACACCACTTTTAATATTTTTGAAAATTTGATTTCTTTCCAGAACAATTGCATGTGATTTCCAGAAAAGAGAATACAATTTAGGAATTTTTTAAGTGAAAAACGAAATATTTTAGAAGTTCTGTTGCTGAAAGATTATACAGAATATAAATGTACATTTTTCTGTAAAAACGAGATTGCAAGTGGCAGTACACCTTTTGGCATGCCCTCTGCTAGCGAATTTTGATCATGGCAATTTTTTAAGTAACCTTTTCTGGGTATGTTACAAATTGTTCAACATTTGTTTTCTGTGGTTCAGATATATTAAATAATATCAATAAGCATATCTATATACTGCAAACCAAGACCAGTGGATTTCATTTGAAAAGATATTGTAATGCTACATAAATATTGAGAGGAAAAACTGAGATAACAAAACAATTCTTTGTCTTCAAAGTAAATTTGGAAATCTTCAAACCAAACCAATTTTTCTAGCCAAAGTTGTAAAGGAGCTAAAAACTGAGCTTATAATGGGACCTGATTACAGCCTTATCTTGGGAGAATTGATATGTGTGTGGACAGCACTCAGTGGAGTTCAAATAATTTAATAATAGGTGATAGCATAATCATTGACATTTTTTCTTTATTTTTTTGTTTGTTTGCTTTCAAATACTGTGTTTCAGAAGAGACATGATTTCAGACATCTGTGAGGGAGCCTGATTATCAGAAAATACTGAGCCAACTGCTCTTTCAAAAATCAGGTCTCATTAAGATGTCTCAACTTCAGCACCCAAAATCACTAGTCTTGTCTGAAAATCTTGGCCTAGTTTTATATTCATCTATTCAGCTGTATCAGCACATCACATCCTTAGCAATTTACAATTTTGCAATACAAAATTGGGATAAAATACTTAAATTTCTCTCTTTACATGTTTCATTAGTAGCTCTGTAAAACAAAGGCTACAAACGTGTAACAATCTCCGCTCTTCATCTGAATGCGTCAACAGCAAACGGAGGATGTTAAGTTTGTGTATGCATAGATGCTACTGTCACTATCCATCAGTTCTTCCTGCCAGTTCTATTCTTGTAAATCAGCAGGGGATTGAAACTGACAAGAATCCTGTTCTCCAGGTTCTTCAGAAACCAGAGCTGTTGTAAATTTCAAACCCCTGTGGATCAAAAGAATGGAGCTTGTGACCCTGTGACCTGCATATTGGCAGGTGTCTTTGTTTGTTTGTGGTTTAACACAGCTGCTGATAGATGTTCCCCTTTCAACGATTAAACTATTTTTTAAAGGGCTTAAAGAGAAGGTTCATTTGAGCCTGTCAGCCAGTGTTCTTTTTCTACAGGAATCCTCAATAGCACAGGGGGATATACATTAGGCGCATAGACATTATTCAGAGAGAAATCTGGAATACAGTGTTATTATTTTAGGTTAAAACAGTGGTCACCAATCTTTTTATGCACAAGGTCACTTTTTGAATTTAAGTGCAACCCAGGATCTACCCTCCCCTTCCTGGAAGCCCCACCCCACTCACTCTATCCCCCTCCCTCCATTTCTCGCTCTCCCCCACCCTCACTCACTTTCACTGGACTGGAGCAGGGGATTGGGGTTTGGGAGGGGGTGCAGG